TGCATGCTGGCTTCGAGTGAACGAAGATAGGCGACGCACATCGATAGGGACTGTCGCCGAGAAAGGGATCATAGGATAGTAGTAACATTTCATCCCCGACTTGGCTGTCCTGAAGGCATCGCCGGCAGGGAACCGGTCCGTCTGGCTTTTTCAGGACAACGAGGGGGGAAGGTGCTTCCTCTAAAAGAGGCGTGGGTAACGGACGCCATCGTAAGGTCTCTGGGAGTTGCCGCCGGCGGGTTGTCTGAAATCTATTAGTATGTGTCTCACGCCGAGATAGCTAATAGCTTGGTTACTCACAACTGTAGTGGGCACTGAGCCACTCGTCACAATTGAAGTAGGTGTTGTATGCATCTTGGGGCAATTTCTTCGATATCAGCTATGGTTCGATTCAAAAAAGAATGATGATGAAGAACTCTGAGGAGAAAATAAAAGCAGAGACTTTCACGCCCTTTTATGCGAGTTTCAATAGTCTCTGAAGCCCTCCCTGTGTCAGCAATTGCTGTCAAAGTGGCCAATTGGGGGCAAACCGTCTAGGCACCATTGAGTAAGGTAGTGGAACTTGCTGTTGAAGTGACCCATGGTATAAAGTGTTAATATCTTAATATGACAATGCCTTATATACGTCGGACTGTGGTAGTTCTTATATATGATGTTCTTCTTGCTCTGAAGTGAGTTTCTAATGTGGGCGTGCTTCCCTCTGCTCTCCTCCTTTCCTTAGTATACGAGCTTAGCTTGATTCTTCCTTCACAGCTTATTTATTCTTATAGGTAGGTCACCGAAGCATACGAGAAGTCGAAACGTAACAAAATAATTGCCAAATATGTGTCCAAATATGAGCCAGCCAGAAAAAGCGCTTAGATATATCAAATTTGTGTCTAGTAAGCCTATTGTTCTTAACGATCAATTGGGGCTCACTAGGTTAGCTAGCTTAGGTACTTAATCGGCATCGGAGCCGTATTCGGCGTTAAGATGCCGCAGTTTCGATTCATCTTACTCCGATTCTCAAGTCACGGCCTCTCTGCTACTATTGTAGTTTGCCTACTGAGAGTTCGAAAGACCTCGGACCCAAAATTCTTCAATTGGGATGCGTCTTATATCAATATTGGGATGCCTTGCCAGTACACCAAATTTACATCACGCCGCGATTGGCTAACGACCAAGGTGCACGGCTTGTATGAACATGTACATCATTGGCGCTCACACATGGGGCTATACTCAACGTAGAAGCGGCCGTCTTGCGAACAATATCTCCACTGACTCTCTAGGATGAGAGTCAATATTCCATGTTAATAGAATAACTGGTATTAGAGAATATGGCGGCCTCTGCATCACCATCACACCCATTCCGTCTCTCTCCTCTAGAGGGGCTCATGCCACACGCCTACGTGCGCCAGATATACTGCTTCCCGACGACGAATTCACAAGCGGTTAGTGTGCTGTCAAGGGGACTATCCGGGTTAGCGCGAGATGTGCCGTATATCCTCTCGCAAGTCGTTAGCGACAAATCAGGGACTGGCTTAGAGGTCGCGATAAGCACCCCGTGCTATAACGTCGAGGACATCTTCTCGTGGCACGACATTTCCGCTTCTATCGACTATGCAACTCTCAAAGCAGGGTACTTCGCGCCCGGAGTTTTTCAGAGTTACGAGATAATCCCACCAGACACTCTTTCGCCATACCAGGCTTCAACGGCTGTATTTCTTGCCCGCGTGTCGCTCATCGACGGTGGGTTGATTTTATGCATGGCTGTGCACCACGTAGTGAGCGACATCACGGGGTATGATGCGCTCTTCAAAATATGGGCAGCACACTGCCGTGACGGGTCCTCGCGAACTATTGGATTTGATCTGAGCTGGGTGATTCGGGACCCTCTCTTCTCGGCACCAGAGAGTTCCTCTGCACTAGTATCCATGCCTGATCTTCTACATACCATCCCCCCTGAAGAATCAGCGCGGAGTGCTAGCCGACCGCAGGCAGTAGGGATTGAGCAAAAAAACTATCAAACGGCGATCTTCTACTTCCCACAGCAACATCTGCGGGCACTCAAGGATGCCGTGAACGAGTATATCACATCACATGAGCCCGGGTCATGGGTCTCGACAAGTGATATCTTGTATCCTTGCTATGGAGCGCAGTTATCGAGGCCCAGGAACAATCTTATCATGATACTAATTGGGAGGTTGCGGCCATGGACGCACGAATGAGCACATTGTCATTCCCCGTGCAGTTCCGCTCGGTGCTTCGCCCACCGCTCCCACGGGATTTTCTAGGTGCCGCATTCCTGATGACAAATGCGAGAGTGCTGCATGAAAATGCATGTCTCATCTCCAAATCTACAGCCCAGGGTCAAGAGCTAAGGCTCGCGCCGCAGACGGAAGCAGAGACGGACGCACCAGCAAGCTCCGCGGATATTCCGGTTCTCGCGAAAGTCGCGCTCGCGATTAGGCAGTCTATACGAAAGATCGACGACGCAGCCGTGTGCGGGGTATTAGCATACCTTGAGGCACACTTGGGCACCAATCTAGAGTCAGCCATTATCTTAGGCCCACCCCGGTACGACGCGGGAGGCAGCGGGACATCAGTCGTGTCGTGGGCAGACCAATGCGTCTATGAGCTAGATTGGGGCGACGCCGTTGGCCACTGTGATGCAGTGCGGTTGCCGAAGATGAGGAATAAGAGAGATCCCATCGTGCTACCACGTGTGCCTAGCCTCCACGGGTACGATAGTGGATTAGAAGTGATCATGAGTTACGAGGTAAACGTTATGGAGAGATTGATAGAAGGTCCAATCATGAGGCGATTCGCCGCACTGCGATGCTTATCGTAATAACCCAGTTCCGCATATTGGTTGTCTAAAATGGCGTATTTTACACTATTTTTTATGAATACATGTTGCACGCTACCACCTTGAGTATGCTATGCTTCAAAGCCCCAGTTCGGCGTCGTACTCGACTGCTATGAGATATTATGCTTCTAATTATTCTTATGGAATTATGCCTGGCTCGGGGTTGTCTCCGGCCGGATGAAGTGATGAGGGCCATACCATGAACCCCCCAAAAAGAAATTCCAGTATACGAAGGGCTAGTATTACATTAGCTTGAAATAACTACAGGAGTAGTGGAATACTCTGGCGATACTTACGAAAATGTCTTTCTTCAAGTAATAGAATGCTGCCCTAGGAGTTTCTTGGCCTCCGAGTATATTAGCGAATGTCTCTTTAGGCACACCGCCATACTTAAACTCGCAGAGCATGAGCTCATTATGCCCTGTTAGGAGCGGGCAACTCGCGTAACCGTCGTAGGCAGCCTTAAGTTCCTTGCCGGCCATCGTTGCGAGGAGATTGTCGATCATCACGGGAACCTGCGCTGTGATCGCAGCGGCCGTCTTGCTGTTGGGCAAGCTCGATGCATCCCCTATCGAGAAGATGTTCTTGTACTTGTTATGCTGCGTAGTGAACTTGTCAACATCAACCCAGCCGACTGAATCGGCTACATGAGGAGTTAATGTTAGCGCAATTCGGTACAAAACAGTGCGCAATAGGGTATAAGAGGTATGCTTACCAATCTTCGATTTAGCGACCCAGTCCCAGGGCTTTTGAGGAGGCACTACGTGTAAGAACCCGAATTCTTTTTCTACAGTTGCGCCTTTAGTACCCTCAGCTAGGTTCTTGAAAGTTGCCACTTTCTTCTTCGCATCGATCGCGACAAGGTTGTATTGGAACAGGCCTTCGACATTGCGCTCTCTCCGCAGGGCATCCAACACCTGAGAATATTTCGGCACTGCAAACATAGCTGTGTTTCTATAAGCATATGTGATTAGGAGGGAAGAATTGCTGTCTATCTTACCGGCACCGCCAGTCGCAAAGGAGATATCGATGTTATCTCGCACACCATCCCGCTGCCATTGAGAGAGCGCCATCCACATGATCTTCTGAGGTGCGCCAGCGCATTTTATGATGCCTGCAGGCTGAGTGAAAATGGCCGGTCCTTTCTTAAAAGCCTGGATGTTTCGCCAGACCTGTTCGACGGTCTTTTCAGAGTAAATGGATGAAACCTGGCTAGAAGGGTCCTGAAGGGCTTCCTGGAGACCAGAGATACCACCAAAATTGGTCTCAAGACCAGGGGCAACAATCAGGTAGTCGTACGAGACATCCACTCCCTCGGATGTTTTAACGGCATTTTTCTCAGGGTCAAGTGTAGAAACCCGTAAGGGGTAGTGCTTCACCCCTTCTGGTATTACGTGAGATAGGGGCCTCTGAACGTCGTCCAACGATTTCAGACCAGAGCCCACGAGCGTCCACCCAGGCTGCGGCAAAGTTAACACAAGTCTATTACTTTATAGACAGATTAAAAAATGCAGTGCGCTGCTCACCTGGTAATGATGTGTTTGGGCCGGGTCCAGAATAGCAATATCCTTCTTTTCAAGCTCTAAAGAGCGCTGCAGCTGCGCAGCCGCAGTCACACCGGCCGTTCCGCCTCCAATAACGACGACCCGATGATGCGCCTTTGCTGGTATCGATGTGGCGTACTTTCTAATAGGTACCCTAACAGGGGCCCGAGCCAAGAGTCGTAGTGCAGGGGTGACGGCCATCGCGTACCAAACAAATTTCTTCTGCAAAGCTAAACAGTGCACCCAACCAAGCCAGAACTAAGAACAATGAGATCAACAACTAGATACGCAATAGAAAATATGTGTTAAGCAGATGTAATCATTCACCCAGCAGATATTATACCTTTGAGATCCTAGTATGCTCACGCTAGCTTTAAATTATGTAACATTTTACCTTTTACCTTTTACCTTTTGGACTAACAACCTCTATGACTGGTCACGTGAAATCACGCCATATATTTATGGTATTATAGTGTAGTCGTCTCATGATTAGTCATCGTCTCCTCTTTTCGCAATATTAGCATTCTGAGTATTCCAGAATACACACAACCCAAAGAAATAAAAATATTCCTTACTATCAACAAGTAAGGATAGTACAATATCTGTTTTGATTTCGCCCGGACTTGAACCGGAGACCTTCAGTGATCACAGACCTCTTTTTTGTAAGTTCTGTTAGACTGACGTGATAACCAACTACACCACGAAACCAGGAAACCATTTGTGAGCATACTGCAATGATTGGTCGATCGATGGCAGCTAGTGGCCTATCATATATTATATGGATAAGTGGGAAGATTGTGCAGATAGAGAAGTTTGGAACAATATCTTGTCACAATGCTTTTAGGTGAGTCCGTGAGGTACCTAGCTAATAGTGTCAGTGACAACAAGAATAGTGGCTCAAACCAAGATTCAGCAAAGTTAAACGTACCACGAAGTTTCTTTCTAGAATTCTCGCCCTATAGAAACTACGAAGAAAACGCGACGATAAATTTAATACTGTAATATCACTATACTAGTCAAACAATCACGCCGTGTATGACGAGGGCTCACTCGGTACGGCCTGAAGAATTGACTCTAATCACGACTAATCATCTCAGGTATCAAAGAGTCTTTCGACTACTGTTTTGGATAGCCTCCGAAAGTTGCGCAGAAATGCTAAGTCTATAGATACGTCAAATTATCGACATCCAGAGACTACGAAAGCCGACTTGCCTCACCCATTGCAGTCAATCGGTTTCATACTAAAGCAAGTATCATACATATGATTTCGAAACAGGATTCCTCGCCCACACGACAAAAAAATAAGATCAATACATAAACGTCGGTCGTTGCCTAGTGTCATATGACAGGGGTTGCAAAGCAAAGTCCAATATATGTATGCACCCCGCGCGCTCGTATATTCGCGTATTCGCGCGTTCGCGACTAATGAGTACTAGTAATCACAACCGACAAGGGACATTAAAATCAAGATCCAAACTCGCTACCATACTAGATGAGGAGCACAGATAATAATCTAGGTACAATCAATTTAGTACAATCATACTGGCTTCATAGCATTGCTTCGGATCATCCGAGGAGAGTTGTGTGGCAACCTCCGACCCTCCGATTCTGCATCCAACGCAGTACGCTGTACTACAGTACAGGAGTCAGGTGAAGAGACTGTTGCGGGGGAGAATGCGTGCATAGGTAACTGATCTAGACGCTCGCGTCAGAGGTAACCCTACTTTCGGATAGTCGAGAGCGTCAGTAAAGCGGTCGGCTATAATCTCCTATCTCTAGTGCTGTCTATTTGAGAAATAGATATAAAAGGCATCGCCCATTTACACATAAAAATTAACTCCATTCATATTTCACATCAAACCTACCCATCTCAGAATCGTTCTATCAATATGAATGAAACGTACCCATTCATTTTTGGTTTCCCCTCACTAGAGGCGGGCTGGAGCCCACGGGATTTGATGGTTGATCACTCAGTCCTATTCTTGGTTGGCCTCGTCTCGGTGATGTCTACAGCCTACGTCTGGTCGATATCGAACGCCAGTCTGAAGAAACTTCCCCGTGTAAACCCTCCCAGCTTCTTCTCCAACGCTCAAGCCAAGGTAAGTGTAGTAAGGAAAACCCGATACCGAGTCTCTAATAAGCATCGACAGCGCCAATTTCGGGATTCGGCAAAAACTATGTTACAGAACGCTAGAAAGCAGTACCCCAACCGGCCATACCGCATGACCACAGATTACGGAGAGGTTGTAGTGCTACAGTCGGAATGGTTTGATGAAATTCGCAACGATCCGCACCTCAGCTTTCTCGGGACAGTGGCTCAGGTACATATCTTTAATAGCTACGCTCCACCAGCCCGCTAGCTAATTGAACCCTTTCTTCTATAGGAGCGTATTTGCGAAATCCCAGGCTTCGAACCTCTCGCGGCACTTGGAGAAGAGGGTGCACTTGTGCAGATTATAGCAAGAAAGCAGCTAACGAAGTTACTCAGTTAGCTTACACCGCCCTCTACCTCCTAGTTCGTTACTACTAAATAAATCGTTGTAGGCCAGGTAACCGCCCCATTATCAGAGGAGATTGCACTCGCCGTGTCTATTAACTTTGGAGAATCCACCGGTAAGTGTCTATGATGGATGTCTTTAGCCATACAAGACTGATTCTACATAGCGTGGCGTGAGATTAAGAGCTTGCCCGCTCTACGTGATATCACTGCCCGCATGTCATCTCGGGTATTCGTAGGAGACGAGCTCGCTAGAAACGAAGAATGGTTACGAATCGTGAAGAATTATACAGTCGATGCGTTTAAATCAATAAACAGACTGACAAAATATCCGGTTAACCTACGCCCGTATATTGGTCCGCTCTTTCCAGAGTGCAGACGAATTCGAGATTACTATAAACGAGCAAGAGAAGTGATAGATCCCGTCTTAGAGGAGAGGGACCTCATGAAGCAAGCCGCTTTAGCATCTGGTCAACCAGCGCCAGTTTTCAATGATGCATTGGAATGGATCATCCAAGAATCAGAGGAGCGCAACTCTGGATACGACACTGCAACCTTCCAGATGATAGTATCTACTGTGGCAATTAACACGACGACGGATCTACTTCAAGCAGCTTTGATCGACCTTATTCAGCATCCAGATGCTATGCAAGCCGTCCGAGATGAGATTATTCACATATTGAAGACTGATGGCTGGAAGAAATCGTCTCTCTACAATATGAAATTACTTGATAGTGCCCTCAAGGAGACCCAGCGGTAAGTAACTATTTCATCCCCTTATTTGAGGCTATACACCTAAACCTTTCCGAAGACAAATCATATCTAAAATACTAAAAGCTAACATTGAGCCCGGCAGTATAAACCCAGTTTTTACAGGTAAACAAATATACCCAGAGCTCCACGTAACACGTATAAAAGGCTAATTGGTATGGATAGCTATGCGCCGTGCTGTAGTTGCGGATACAGTGTTGCCAGATGGCACTATTGTCAAGAAAGGCTCTCGTATCCATATTGATACCCATCGAATGGTAGACCCGGAAGTTTACGAAAATCCGGAGGAATGGAAGTGCGATCGCTTTAGTGAAATGCGATCACAGCCTGGCAAGGAGCATCTGGCGCAACTAGTAACGACGAGTATCGATCATTTCGGGTTTGGCCACGGTCAACATGCGTGCCCTGGACGCTTCTTTGCCGCCAATGAGTTGAAGATTGCTCTCTGTCATCTATTGATCAAGTACGACTGGAAGCTTGCCCCAGGTACACCTCTAGATATGGTCCGCCTTGGATTTACCCGGGTAGTGAACACGGATACCAAGTTGCTGTGTCGAAGGAGAGAAAGGGTGGAGCTCGACATCGACTCTATCTAGGACACTAGATAGTACGGCGATAAAATTGTATTGATACGTGAAACTCGACCTTTCCTTCTTCACAGCCATTTTCCGTCTTTCATTTTCTATGCTGTACCTCGCCGATATAATAAATTTACACATATACGACGATATGAACAGTATACGAATCTAAAATACAACATAACAAGCTACTAGGAAATACACACAACTCTAAAAGCAATATTCTCGGTTGTTAACCATATTGACGTTGTATAGTGGCTCGTTTGCCCTAAAATGCTACTAAACCTAAAAGCCATCAAGTAAACCAAACCTTAAAGTATTGACGAGCACTAATGTCACAACTGCTGAAAGGTTTATTCTTATTCATCAAATCAATCTACTTCTAGTTTAGACATTCTCGCTCGTAATTAGAGCTAAAACATATTATAAGCCCTCAACAAGGGAAACTAGAGCGTAGAAACCACTGAGAAATGCCACGTCATATCCATACCTTGGAACAACAACGAGCTTGAAATCAGTGCAAGTGAAAGCTATTACACTTGTCAGTCTTCTTACACAGAAATTCTACAAATGGGGAGCGCCGCACCTCTCATCAACTGTCTCGTGAATTCTGTGATTTCTACCGCCATTCCAGGTCCGAACAGCTCAACGAATGCCACTTTAGATGGCAAAGAACTTTGGTTTTCATACACCCACGTGCACCAGATTTCTGCACACAATACGGCCTTGACCGCAGAGAGTGAGAGTGTAGGCGCACGAGGGAACTGTGGATCTATCCTTAAACGATGAAGTCGTTCCATAAAACTTTTCACCGCAATAGGCTCATCGATGTGCTTAACAAAACGCTGAAACCCGGATTGACTTATATCCTCGACGAAATTGCAAGACAAGGATATTTTATCTCTGACACGATCAATGAGGTCGAGATCGCCAGTCGGTAGAACCCAGTTGTTAGACACGACGTGTGCCATATCATCGATGGTATATGTCGCGCGTTCTTGGACAATTAAGAGCATATTACCAATTCTGAATAGCTCTTCAGATTCGTGACCGGTGGCATGCCCCATGGATTTAGCGATTTTGGTGGGTAGCATAGTATAGTCGGCAGCGAGGCGCTTAACACCGTAATTCGTCTCGAAATTTGGATTGGCGGCTTTTGCTGCAGCCAGAAAGCCAGGCCACCCATTATCAAAGCCCCTCTCTGGGTTGGTTGGCTTGCGCTGATGGTTAGTATCTTGTGGTATTGGATGGCTATATGAAAATATAGAGGTTCTTACAATCAGATTACCAGCAGCGTCCATTGTTTTTTTCCTGTCAGGGGATAATGTAACAGTGCATTATTTGGGTATACAAGGAAGAGAGCTCAGAGGAGAGGCTCGGGAATTAATAACATTAAGACCTTAACCTATACTTCTACCTAGCAGTGTCCTACCTGTGACCTACCTTCACTCCGGAGACGAAACCCTCGGACATTTCCCCAGAAAAAGGGGTAATTCTAGAACTAATCCACACTACTTTTCAGTTCCACAGCTAGAGAATTCGACATGACTATTACTTCTTACTTCTTTGGATATGAACGGGTGCACCGATAACGCGACTGTGTTTGAAACGGAATATGCTAGCAGCCCCCTTACATTTTGAATATTACTACAGTGATTAGTCGACAGCAGCGGTAGGGGCAAATTCCTGTCTTGTCACACAACAGGCTGCAGGAAGGATTGGCTATTACCCATGCATTCTCTTTTTTGTTCATGAGCCAAGCGAGAGTTGCAAACATTCATCAACTAATCAGCGTCTAGAACCTGTGCCACGTAATATATAATACATGCCTTCTGATTGCGGTAATATGCACCCATAAGAGA